CACGGTCCCGTGAACACGAGCGGAGGGACGCTCCTCTGGGAGAGATCGAGCGTGTCCTGCACCCTGACAAGGGCAGGGTCGCATACCTCGCAGTCTCTGTTTCGCCGAACAGCTCTCTCAGATCGGCGAAACTCTGCGAACTGGACAGTCTTCCTTTCTTCTTGCAACCTGTAGATGCCATTTTATCGATATCTTTCTTCGAAACGTCCCCGCTATTTCGTTCGATCACCGTCTTCACAGACGTATCCGAGCTTCCTGTAGTGCTGTCTCGTTCGCTGCCTGAATTAGCCACGGTTTTCCGAGTGTCTTCAGGTAGTGCCACCGCAACAAGTGGTGATTTCTTTGACCACTCTGATAATGCGTCCGCTGCCCGCTGCTTTTCGTCCGGAGTGTCATTGTTGGGTGTTAAAATTATTAGAAAGTCGTCTTTTTCTTTGGACTTCGATGGCTCTTTCGCTGATGCGTCAAAAGTTCCTGACATGTTAGCGAGAGACGTGTTTGGAATCTTCTTAGCTGCCAGTGCTGCAGCTATGCTGCCTCGAGTTTCTCTCGGCACTGATAGCCTTCTTTGAGAAATTTTGTCTAGAACTTCTTTCCCCAGCGTTACGGAGAGCCTCTTCTTTTCCAGTTCGCTCATCGAGGGAGAGGTCGGAGCCGATTCGGACCTTTCGAGACTCTTTCCTCGACTGATGGAATCGCTTCTCTTCAGCGCTGATTCTGGACTCGGAGGTGATTTTTGACGAATCGAACTTGTATCTGCGGTGATCATAGAATGACATCGCACGTGCAGGCCTTTGCCGTCATCTTGTGCGCTTGGTTCCGTTTGAGGAGGAACCACGATTTCGTACTTTGATAGAGGATCTTTATGGAAAACTATCTTTTCCTGCGGTTCAGATTTTTGTAAATTCTCGCTACCATAAATTTCATTCAATTGTTTCTTCAAAGTAGCCACCTGTTCTATTGACAGACTGCTCCAAAACTTCTTGCTACCACCAAGGCTCTTTTGCAGCAACGGCTGATCCAAATTATCCAAGGATTTCTCGTTCTGATCACCCTTCGCCTTTTTCTGAATCGTGCTCGCCATATTGATCACCGATGTGCCGCGCCATAGTGGCTTGTAAGTGTCTTTCCTCGATGAAATCTCTATCTTCTTGGAAGATTCGGTTTGAAGCTTCTTAAATTGCTGGATAATATTCTCTACCGAGCGTTCCTTGCATCTCAAAGCCCCATCGCCGTTCCACTTGAACTTGTTCGCGTCCTTTGTACTGAATAGAAGGTCCTTGTCTCTCTGAACCGCCTTCAGCTTCCCATAAAGCACGTTGAATTCAGTTTGAATCCTCTCTTGAGACCTAACTTTTTTCCAACGATCGTAATCCACTATTTCTTCGTTCCTCAGTCTGGGTCTCAAATCACTAGACGAAAACGTCCTTTCCAGTTCACCTAATCTCTCCAGGCTGGAATAAAAATCGTGAAGTTCTTTGTATCTCGTTGATTTCCTCCTGTCATGCAGCATTTCGAACACGTAGCGTCGGTACTCGTCGCGATCAATCGTCGACGCGCAAAGGGAATTCGTGCTCCTGGTCAATGACAAACTAGACCCAAATTTCGATCCGTGCAGTTCGTCAACTTCGCTCGCGCTTCTGGCTCTAACCTTTTTCATGCTGGAGTACACGTCCGATCGATCCTGTCTCAAGCTCCGTATGAGTCTACAGGCTGGAGATTTTACCGGGGACGGCGATGCTGTTCGTGAAGAGCGTTTTGAACCCGAATATTCTGACAGGGTCTTCAAAGGTGGCTCGCTCAAGCTTCTTTCCTTCAGACGGTCCTTCGTTAATTCTGGCTCAAGATCTTCTATACCTAGAAGACTGTCGAATTTCCTGACCTTCTGAAAGACGGATCTACCGGGCCAACTGACGCCATAAGGACTAGAGCTCCTGCTGGAAGGAACACTCTCCCGTTCCCAGGTTTTGAACTTCGAATTCGAAACTGGACGTTTATGGGCCAAATAGATACTCAGTGACTTCAGAGACGGCTCGGATTTACTGCTCTCTTTAATGTTTTCTTGATAGATTCTGGCTCGTTCGTAGACGATAGACCTTCTCGACGGAACATAGTCGCTGGAGATACCGGAAGAGACAGATCGTAAAAATAGGTTCTGGAAGAATGTATCCGAACGTGCTTCTTGGTGCTTCTTTATTTCTTCCACGGTGCTTCCTGTATGCTCTTTATTTTCCGTGTTAATTCTATCGGGACTTTCAGTTTCTAAATTCTTCAACCTTCCTTCTGCTTTCTTCTGTGGATTCACTTGTATCGTTTGAAGTTTCTGTACAGGCAATTTTACGATAGTTTGAGGCTTCCTGAGTCTCTCAGAGACAATCGCTTTAGAAACACAAGAACGTTCTTTGATTTTATCAGGCTGCCTCGCTATCGTTTTTGGTCTCTTAACGTCCGTCGATACAATCTTAGAAGAGGTTGTTACAGAGGATTTCACAGAAGGTTTTACCTTCAAGGACTTATCCAAACTTCTCTGCTTATTCAAACTCGAATACGCATTGACCGCGCGCTTCACAACATCTTGAGATCGAAGGAGCTCCATGTTTCTTTCATTTCTGTCCTTGAACTTCTCCAAACGCAACTCAGCGGACGATTTGATTAGCCTTTTCGTCGACTGCTCCTGTTCCCTCCTCGTCAATCGCGTTTTTATAGCATCCTTCTTTAAACAGGGCACAGGAGGACAAACTCCGTTGCAATTTTGCGACCTCTGTTTCGACATTTTTCCGGACTGAATAGATTTATCGTTCAAACGTTCCTTGCTAAATACTAATCTCCTGTCTGTCTCGGGCAAACTTCGCGACGGGGGCTCAAACTTCTTCCTGTTCGACCTGCAGGGAGCGTTATCAAAATTCTGAAAGTTTTCTCGACTCTTCTTGTGCCTGTCCAGATTACTGCAAACTCGTTCCCTTTGGGAACCAGACGCATCCCCGCTGAAGCACTGTTTGTGTCTCGATTTTAGAGACTGCGAGACAACCGTACTTTGTCTTTTCGCGTACAATTTAAGAGTCTTGCTGTTCCTCGAAGACTGTCTTCGGGGTGGCGATGGCGGTTTTGAAAGTACGCTACGAGGATCTATTAAGTCCCTGGAGGGATACGAACTTATGTACTGAGCGTCCACTATCTTGATCTTTGAATTCTGGTTGCTCGACGATTGTTTGTATCGCGAGGATACAGGCATCGTTGAAGAAGCGGTTTTCCTGTGCACACGTATCCGCGTCAAAGTGGGTGAGATCGGAAAGTACTCGACACCCGAGTCGTCTGTGGACAAAGTTTTTCGGATCGTTTGTTCATTCAGTGTTCATGAAGAATTGCGTGCCGTGGAACCCTGTCACCGAAAGTTTCGAAGAAAGTCACTTTTGAAGCTGGTGATGCTGCCTTGTGTTTATCCGGAACAGCGTGAAGATCGGAAAGTCTTCTCGGCAGTGATACTGATGGTGCATCAAATATTACGATTCGAGTAAAAATGAATCGCAGACCAATATCGACAGATGCTGAGCGGTGCTTGTGTAATTTAGAATGTAAGTAGAGGAATAGGAAATATGTTACCTCACTGAATGACGCAATTTTTAAGTAATAGTATGCTAGTTACTTAAAATTGGATTTTGTGTAACTTGAAAAGGTATTTCATTGAGAACGAGTCTGATTATTTCATTGGGAGCGAAAGAGATATGGGACTAAATTCTGGAATTGAAATTGATATACATACTGCTGGTTAAAAATTTTAACTACTGATACATTAAATATTACTTCTTTCAAATTTAATTGATTATATATGATCACAAATTTTATCTTCTTTATTTTGAATTTTCAATTTTATCTCAGCTTCATAATTTTTAAGCTTCGTCACTTGGGATGGTGTATTATTACTGTATTGTTATTTGTAGCATGAACTGCATATTTATTGGTAGCCATATTCCCTTGCAACATAACATAATTTAACTCTGCATCGTGAGATATATTAAATAACTTTAATATTTACGTATTATGATTATTGCAAACTAAAGAGCCCCTATCTTAATTGATTTTTGCGATATTATTAACACTCTCTGTTGTATAATATAAATATCTATAAACATTGATAATTTTATCCCAAACCTATTGAATTAGCTTTAATTTAATTTAGTCAGAATGAAGATACATAATTGAACAAAAAATAATTCAAAATGAAATTTAAATTTTCAAATCGAAAATCAAACTCGAAATCACAAACAGGATTGTAATAAATAATCGAAAAAATGGACGTTGAGAAATAAAGACACATTGACTTCGTTATTCGAAACTAATTTGAAAGTTCTCAAGTAATTCTAATTACACAAAAGTTTTTTGAATTTCAATTACTGATGTAATAATGGAGGAACTCTATACATCTAAACAGGTAAAAATTACGTCATTTAGAAAGGCAACATTGTATTCGTATAAAATATTGCGTTCAAGCTGGACACCGGTAGCACAGTTACATGGTTATGAGTCATGCTGTATTTTTCATTCGAATTATCCAAAAGCCGTGAAATTCAAACCATTCTTTTTATGAAATTGAAACTGACGTGATTATTTAACGCTTACATGAAAGTAATTTATCAAAAAAGACTAGAATAATAAGATTGAACTTGATAAGCTACAACAAGCGACTGTTAAATAAACTACGAACGTGAACAAAGGAAAATGTTATTTGAGGTCTTACCAGTATAATACTGTCGAAGTCACGTTAATGATTGGTTATTCAAAAGTTTTTAAACACAATAGAGCTCTATTTATCCGAATAAAATCAAACTTTAGCTATTAAAACTATTCTTATTAGAATAATTTCATGAGGTTCGAAAAATTAATTATTAATAGTTGAACATCTAGTACTAAATTCTCTGTTCCTTATTTTAGTTCTCAGACTGAAAATATCGATCTATTTAGGTATTTAATGAATTAAATGAATTATGCTAACCTAATTGAAATCGATCAGTAGTATTCTTAGAAAGATATTCTATAAATTCTATTCCAAATTTTTTATGTTAGAACTACATATTTCAACATGTTCGACGCCAGTTAGACAGTTATTTTAACTTCAGAAATATAATTATTTCAATAGATTATCAAACAAGAGAATTTATAAAGTATTTTAATATTCGAGTACAAGAAACGTTGTGGTGGAACTTGTGCAGGATTTATGACATTCACTGAAAATACTACTGCTGAAGGATTTCCTTAATACAAAACATTTTCCAAGAGCAGATATTATCGGAGTTAATGGTGCAAATTCTATCTTCGTAGAAGAAAGAAACGAATAAATGAATCTTTAATATCGCATCTGACACCGAGGAAATAGACGAACCAAGATTCAATTTGAACGGCCATTTCTGAACTAAGTTATTTGACGTATCCTGACCATTTGATGGAGAGCTTCAGGAAATCACTTAAATGACTCCAAATCAAATTGACGGTCAGACTATTGATAAACCGCGATAGAAAATAAAAATGTGATTACAAAAATTTGACTCATTTCAAGATATTCGGATAAATAGATATCTACCGTAAAAATAAAAATCTATCGAGTTTATAAAATAATTTCGAGATCATTGACGAGGTTACAGAGAATCGCAGGATTTGTAAAAATGAAAAACTTCATGCTTAAAAGCGCAGGTTTCTTTCGATCGCAGTTAAAATAATTCAAACAAGACCATGCAGAATATTCACAATTAGTAAAACTATGATTAGAAAACGGTAAAAACATGCCTGCTTATCAAACGATAGAAGGTTAAATCAATCTTACAGAAATAAAATCGTAGATTTGAGAATAAAAATTAAAATTAAGAACTCACCCTTCGGTCGCTCAGGGGCTGGTTTACGAAGTCCATGGAGAGGAACGTCACCTCCGCTTTGAACAGTTTTATAAGCTAATCGTTGCTCCAATTGACTCAATGGACTGATGTCTTCTTTGCGACGAAATACTAGCGTGGAATCGCTTTCGTAACCGGACTCTTTTAGAGCACTGAAATTAATCAAAATTCAATTGAGTTGATGTTGAATAACATTCAATACTTCCTTTTGCAAATTTTTAAGCGATTTAGTTATTATTTTTGAATTCAATATTTACGAGACAAAGACTTTTGGAAGCTTGAAAACTTAGAAAGCTGAATTTAATCAAAATTCTGAAGGTTGTAAAATTAATAATTTAATAAAAAATTTTTGAAAGTTGTATGATTGTTATTTTCTGTGTACTATGGTTATACAAATTTCCTGTGTAATTATTATGAAAGAGATACGTGTTTCCTGAATAATTATTAAATAACACGTGTTTTCTGTGTAATTATGAAATTAATATATGTTCTCTGCGTAATTATTGCGATAGCAATACATATTTCATGTGCAATTATTATGATAATGCTTTGTAATTAATATCAACTGATTATTCAAGAACTTCTCTGCACATTTTCCAACAGTTCAAGCACTCAATTGTTAAAACACCAAAAAGCTTAACAGAGCTTAATTTGAAAACGTGGAAATACAATATCAGTTTTTTTAAATAAAATTATTACGTGTAAAAGTGTTAAGTCATTTCAAAATAAAGTCAGAAAAATTCACAAGATTTTAATATATTTTTCATTTGTAAAATATTTGATCTCTTCTTAATTTATTTCAAAAATATTGTAGAATACAAAATGTAAAAAAATGACACGTTCTATGTAAACCTATACATGACACGTCCTAAACCTAATTGCAACGAAACTATGCTGTATTTTAAATAAATTGCAAAATGCACTTACTGTGACATATACGGTTTCGCTGGACGACTGCTGCGTTGATCGAAAGGCTGAAAAAGTGAACAATTAATTAAAACTATTTTACTAAAAATTTCCTACATAATTTTCAAAGTAATCATGCTTCTCGCAGGATCATCATACAAGTTTCGGTGGGATTCGTATATAATAGTTTTACATTTTCCAATCTCATTATTTGAACATTTATGCAAGAATCGACAGTGTGTTCATAATACATCAAACAGGAGTTACGACGCATGCGACATTTTGCCAATGCTAAGCGCAAATGAACAACAATGAAGGACAATCAATTAGCAAATGAGCAAAACAGCTGACACAGAGAAGAGATAGAGAACAAAGGAAAAGTGTACATGAACATCGACACCACTGACAACGTAACAGCAATGGAAATGAGTGGAAACGAAACTACTTTAACTCCTTGTCTTATGATATTTTACTTTGTGAAATAAATATCTAATTTTATAAATCTTTTATTATACATAATGTAATTAATTTTAGATAAATTCAGATAATTTTAGGTATCAAATGATGTTGAATTTAAAGAGGAATTGTTAGAATTCAGATATTCATTTATTAAGTTTAATTTGTATGTTCTGGAAGAAATATTAATTTTGAATAAAAAATGAGGTTACTATCATTATTGTATTGACAAGAAATCTATGTAATAATTCGTAGTAGAAGTAATTACAATATTTCAGAATCGTGAACTGATAATATAGTAATTTAAATGAAAATTTTGCAAATCTACAGTTTGTTGTATTCTATACATGATTTTATTTTATAAGACAAGAAGATAAGTTCAAAAAGTACTGTCAACAGAATAGAAGTAAGGAAGAAATACAACAATATTACTTTTAATACAATATGCTTATTCCAACCAGAATAAGGATTTTAAATAACAATTCTGAACTGTCTATGTTTAATACGTCAATTGTGTAGCATTTAGTGCCTGTAATTTGTATTCAATACATTACACAATCGTTAACCCTTTCGCTGCTCCGAAATTTCCAAATTTCTATATCTCCAGTTTTTCAAATTTTCAAATTCTCAAATATCCAATTTTCAAAATTTCGAAAATCTTAAATCCCTAAATTTTCAAATCCCAAATTCTCAAATCCTAAAATTTCAAAATTCCCAATTTCTGAAATTTCCAAACTCCTAAATTCCCAAATCTTCGAATCCCCAAATTCTCAAATCCCCAAATTCTCAAATTCCCAAATTTCAGAATTCCCAATTTCTGAAATTTCCAAATTCCTAAATTCCCAAATCTTCAAATCCCCAAAATCTTAAATCCCCAAATTCTCAAATTCCCAAATTTCAGAATTCCCAATTTCTGAAATTTCCAAATTCCTAAATTCCCAAATTCTCAAATTCCATCATCATATCGCAGCGAAAGGGACACGTCAATACATTCGAATCATTACTATTAAAGGATGCTAAATGTAAACCATACTTTGAAAAATGAATATTCAAACGCTTGACCAGAAATGTCGCCAGTTTCATCAGAATTCTCTCATTACTTTTAAATAATTCGATATTACAGAGCACAGTAATACCCATGAAATTTTGGAATATTCATCGATCAGAACACAATTTGCACCGAGAAGCCTTTAATAATAACTCTGAGCTGTCAGAATGTCTCAAGAATACTCAATACGTCAATCCACAGTGGGCTGGGAGACTCGATTTCGTGGCCAGAATCAATCAAAATCTTACGTTGTTGCCAAATAAAATATCTTAATTGATTTAAAAACGTGTAAGATGGATATGTACAAAGTTATTCAACAAACAAACTATTCTAAGTCTTATAATTTCTTAATATTGAGGCTTGTTATAAAATATTTCAAGGACAGTCTGCTAAACTATGTAGTCTACCACATATGAATGTGGTATTATTTTGAAATACGTGTCGTAAAGAAGTTTAAAAAATATCTTAAAAGATGTTTAAATTCATTTTTTGTAAGCAGATGACGCTACAGATGAACAAATTTCATTATACTTTTGGTTCATCTTCTCACGTAGAATCACCCAAAAGCCACTATTAACGTGACACCTTGTACACATAAATGATTTATGTAAAAAATCTTAAGAAGGTCTTTAAAAATATCACTCTATAAATTAAAGTAGTGAATATTAGAATGTTCAAATTTGGTTTGAAAATAGAAGATCAGATTTGATTCCAAAAGACTCGAAAAACCAATTTGAGTAAAAACAATGGCCACGATGAGGGATCTCCCGTCCCACCGCAATCGTGCATCTACTTGTCGACGAAGTATCAGCCTCTAACCCGTGAAGATGTCGTCGACGACGGCGACGCTAGGATAATGTGATTGCTGCTGGAAATAGAAGAAGACGTGGAAGAAGAAGAAGTAGGCGAGACGCGTTGATGATGATGATGATAATGATGATGATGATGGTGTCGATGACGATGCTCGTCGTTGGTAGCCTGTAGAAGGGTCGATCTGATAGCTGTCGATCTGTCGCCACTTGGCGAGCTAGATCGACGAAAGCAACGATCCGGCAATACGAAGCTCTTGGATCTTCCTTCCAGCATGCCAGTGTGCCAACCGCAGTCGGCAGCCCGCTCGAGAGGTCGCACGATCCCATCTTTCGGATCGTACTTTGGGTAATCAAGTAGATTCGTGCCCGACCGCTGCATCGGACCCGGCTTCTGCGATTTAGTATCGCGAATACAGAGACTACGGGAGCTATCCTCTACTGTTGGACGAGATTTCGGGACGATCTCGAGCGTTTTCGAGCTGCTGACCGCTGCTGCCCTTACGTTGTGACTGCTCTCCGGTCGGTACGAGAGGCTAAGAGCGCGATGGCTCAGCCGAGCGTCCAGAAGCTCTTCCATCTGCGTACCCTGAGGATGTCCATTCTCGTTCAACCACTGTCCTCGTTGTTGTCAGGCGTTGTTAGCGTCGTCATAGTTGTCGTCAGGACCAGGACCATCGAGGGTGTAACGGACACGATACGCAAACAGCAGAGATACACACACACACGCGCACACAGAGAGGCATCGATCACGGTACGTATACGTTCCTCGAGTATTTCGCTAGGGGACCATATGGTGCGAGCTTCCCGAAGAATTGGGATAGACGTGCATGGTTAACCAGGTGCATACAATGGATGCGAGGTATCTGGGAGCTATTAGGATTATCATAACGAATGACCGATCTCGAAATACAGCCAGGAAACACTTTGATCACGGCATAAGTAACGATTTTCTTAACCCCTCGGCTTAGAACGGGACAGGCTCGTTCATTATGGTTCAAGTGTAGCATGAATTGTATTTACACAAGGATTTTTGAGTTCAATACTAATTGATTTATATAACTAACTAAATACAAAATACCTCATCTTTTATTTATCTCAACATGGCAGTAATTAGTTCTGATAGCAGAAATGGCTTGAAGGGTTAAGAAATGTTTCAGACAGAAGTTGGTTTCCATAAGGAATTAAATAATAATCTGACATGATTAATTTTACGATAAAATGTAAGTTCGAACGTTGAAGTTGCAATAAAATTGCAACAATACCTCGAGAATTAGTGCAACTATATTTGAACGTTTGCTTTGCCCGCGAATTTTGTGGCAGACAAAAGTGACAGTTATGTTAGAGTAAAACACTCAGCAGTCACATTGTCTCTTCATACAAAATGAAATGACAATCCCGCGTTCCTGGCGGTCGTTTTAACATAATTATCTCCTTTGTCTCCCATGACCCATGTTGTGTTTAAATTTCGCGGGCAAAGCGAGCGTTTGAATGTAATTGTACTACTGCTCAAGGCACTGCAATTTTACGGTACGAATTTATGTGAAAAATCCTCGTAGGTGAACGCATAAGTGACAATGTAGGTGCATAGAGACTTTATAATTAGATTTCTGAAATAGTTAACAAGTTTAGCTCAATTAGACCATTTTTTAGCTGTAGCGCGAAATTTAAATTGTAAGAAATTACTTTTATAAAAAGATAAAAGTTGTGTGAATAATAAATAGATTATGCATTGTCATAATTCTTATGGTACTTCATCGATACAAAATAATAGATTGTTATTCAAAATTGTTGTTTATATAATTTATAGTCTTTAGTTAATATACATCATTATTTAAAATTATTGCTTATTTTAAGGGTGAATCAGACAATTTGTATTGAAAACATTGATGAAACTCATTTTTATGTGTTTATGTTTTTAAAGTCATTTTATTAAATTTCAAGTTTGAAACTGTACTATTTTATAATCAAATCATGTTATGGCTCTTATATTTCGAAATCGATCATCTGACATGACGGAACCTAACATCTGAAACTGTTAGTTTGTCAAGATTGAAGACAACACGATGAAAGAGAAAATGTAGAGAAAATAGATTCAGATACACTAGGGAGTAAAACTGAGTCAATAAAACATTCAACAATTCAAATGTACAATCAACAAATACAAAAGTTTGAAAGTTGAGTAAGTTCGTTATATTACTATCTTTTTACAAAAAGCGAACCCTCACTATAGCAATGAAAATATTATAGAAAACAATATAGATGTTGAAATAAGAAAATATTATAGATGTTTAATATTAAAGATGAAAATTATTTGAACAGCTTAATATAGTGCTGATTTCAAGAATAATTTACTTCCGCGTTTTCGATCGCAGGCATGTATAATATGAGACTACGGCGAAGGGAAATTAATGATAGTATGCATCAGTATGTTATAGGAATAGTTGAAAACATAGAAATTTAGAATAAATGTAACAAAGAGTATATGGAAGTTGTGTCTAAAACAAAAGAGAGTTGTGTTTCAAAGAAACTTTGAAAATATGTAATATTTGAAGTTGCCATTTTTTGTAGAAATATTTTTATTGATTCAGTTTTTACTTTCAAATGAGACAACAGATCTCGAAGTCTAATACTTTGCATTAATTCAGCTGTCGTATTTTTTTTACTGATGAATGCCTAAGTGGACAGAATCCAAATTGAATAGTTCAAACATACAGTGTGTACACGAAATAATGATAAATGGTATGAAAAATTTTTTTATTTAAAACTTCATTTTGAAGATAAACAATTTCGAAAAATCTTCACACAACCAATTATATTTACAAGAACAAATTAATAAAAATTCATAAAAAGAAGAAGAAAAAATTTGACTCGATGTTTGATAATAAACCTTGTAAAATAAATTAATAGACTAATAAAACTCGAGCCGATAATAAGAAAAATAATTTTAATTTTCTTCATAATGTTTTAGAATATTTTTAGTCGATAACGTTATAAATAAGAATAAAGGATTGAAAAGTTGATAGACCTAATTTATAATAGAAATATACAGAGGAAAGAAAGTGAGAGCAATCAGGAAGTAGACGGAGAAGAACAGTACAGCGAAGGAAATATGGAACTGGTACTTATTTAACTATGATTAAGTATAAAAATGGCGTACCCCATCGAATATGTCCATGACCTCGTCCCACCACTAGAAACACAGAATTAAAGTCAGCGTTAGTCTACGCACTAATTATGTGAGGTTAAAATGATATCAAAAATAATAAACAAAATTAACGAAATGACGTGTTTCACGACTGCTTTTCATCTGAAATATGATAACATATTTGATATACCATATTTTCAATGAATATTACATTCCACGATTTATTTTCAGTAAAAGAATTATTTCAAGTGTACTCAAAAATGTTGTAAACTACATTTACTTTGAAACAAATTTAACTTTTAGATGTTAATTTTATAAAAAAAAATAGTGTTACTTTTAATTAAAATTAAGTGTATAGATACATTCACATTACTTCTTTTTTTTTATAATTATTTTAGAGTAATACTTTAAAATTTCAATTACTCGTATTTAGTTTATTAATATATATTATACAACTTTGTATCTAATTTATTGTTATACAAATACTGTAAGACGTTAAATAAATCACATTAGAAATTAAAATAAGATTTATCATTAAATCACTGCAAAAGTTTCAATACGATTCTCAATTGCAATTTAATCAATTTCTTATTAGAAAAGAATATCGATTAATTGATAAAGCAATTTAGATTCTTTATCTTTCACGCTTGGATAGCACTTATATGTTCCTGTTATATCAAATGACCCAGTTTTTTTTCTGGATTAAACTCTTTGAAAGATATGAAAGTTTTTATGTTCAAACTATCATGTAACAGTAATTGCACAGTAACTCCAAGTGAAACAACTTTTCGTTGCGCTTTTATGTTCTTTGGTATACGAGGCAGTAGTAAATTACCGTAATTGGTGTGTAACAGAATATTCTGAAAATTTACATTCTATATATTTAAACTCAATTATTAATTTTTAGACTCAAATTCTTAAATTCTGAAATTCTCTAATGTCCAATTATCGAAATTCTTAATTGCTAAAATTTCCAAATTCCTAAATTTCCTAATGTTCACATTCCCAAATTATTAAATCCCTAAATTTCTAAATACCCAATTACCAAAATTCCCAAATCTTCAAATCCCGAAATTCTTAAATCCCTAAATTCTCAAATCCCCAAATTCACAAATTCACAAATTCCCAAATTCCCAAATTTCCAAATGCCCAAATTCCTAAATTCCCAAATCTTCAAGTCCCTGAATTCTCAAACCCCCAAATTCCCAAATTTCCAACTTCCCAAATCCCCAAATTCTCAAATCCCCAAATTTCCAAATTTCCAAATTCCCAAATCTTCAAATCCTTAAATTCTTAAATTCTCAAATCTCCAAATTCTTAAATCCCTAAATTCTCAAACCCTCAAATTTCCAAATTTCCAAATTCCTAAATTCCCAAATCTTCAAATCCCCAAATTCTTAAATCCCTAAATTCTCAAGTGCCCGAATTTTTAAATCCCTAAATTTCCAAATTCCCAAATCCTTGAATCCCCAAATCTTCAAATCCTTAAATTCTCAAGTCTCCAAATTCTCAAATCATAAGTTACAGAAATAAAATTAATTAGAAACGTATCAAAAATTCTGTAGTTGTTCAATAAAAGTTTATTCGATCTTCAAAAAATCCATGACCCTCGACAAATCCCATTGCGTTTGACCATCAAAATTACCCAAAATTATCCCTTTACGCTTTAAACGAAATAACCCCCTTTCAGATGAAAAGCAAGTCACCGTCCGATCACTGAAAGCAGCACTACTAAAAGCTAACTCAAAAACAACGAGCACGACGGAATACTGAAAGCATAAACGTAATTTCGTGTGCTCGACACGTCGGAACATTGAAATACACACAGTTACGATCGTACGAAACGCAAAAGAAAAAACGAGACATATTCCACACGATTACGCGAAAACAAAACAAGCTTTGAACAAAGTGAAAAGAATGAACGTTGCTTCGTTAAACTGATCTCAACCGTTCGATTAAATTGTTACCTTCCTTCTCGTCCGTGTTACAGAAGTTGGCTAGAAAGCAAAGCCATTTCAAACGATCATGTTCGAGACACACTATTCGGGAAGCTTCTACGTTTAGTACGTACTGTAATGTGACTCGGTACACAGGATCTCTTCAAAAAGATGTACGTCGAGAAAATTATAATGGTTCGTTGCTGACAAAGAAATTAGAAGTCATTTTACCATTGTGCAGTCTGAGAGTTTGATTGGGAAACATAAGACAGTTGAATATTGAAAACGCTTAAAATTTTAGTATTAGCACTGAACCTACCGGCATATAATGTGTACTTTGAAATTAAAAGTTAAGTTAAAAAATAAATAAACAAACAAAACATAAATTAGTATACACATTCATTCTTTATCTTGATGAAAATCAATTCTGATTTAAGGAATGTACTTTAACAAAATGTGTACTTTAGAATATGAAACTTAAAGATTGTGATATTGAGAACGTTGAACATTGAAAATGTTAATGCTGAAAATATTTGAAATGTCACTGTTGAAAATATTTAAAATATCAATGTTGAAAATATTTAAAATGTCACTGTTGCAAATATTTAAAATAACAATGTTGAAAATATTGAAAATATCAATATTGAAAATATTGAAAATATTAGTATTAAAGATATTAAGATTGAGAACGTTGAACATTGAAAATAATAATGTAGAAAATATGTAAAATGTTAATATTGAAAATATTTAAAATGTTACTACTACAAATATCAATATTAAGAACATTGACCATTGAAAATATTAATACTGAAAATATTGAAAATACTTAAAGTACTAATACCGAAAATGAACATCCACAATTCACAATAAAAATATAACACGTCCCCAAATATTTTTCTACCCCCTACTTAATGACACCATACCACTAAATAACAAATAAAGTTATGTTTCAGGAAGTGTCTTAAGAATCCAGAATAAAAAAAGCATAAATACACGTGTCCCATCCGTATTGAGTGTTATAATGTCCTCTGTAATGAACATTTAGTTTAACTTGACGTATACAGCCCATATAAATAACACTCGAACGTTAGACAGTGCACATGTAAATATTTCACCAACAGACGCCATCTCGGGCAAATACGCGTGTGCACACGAGAACACACACGTGTATTTACCCATGATGCTCCGTGTGAACATAGTCATCTGCATGATCAGTTCATTCTGAATTTCAAACATGACACATTAGAAATGAAACATTCGGCTCTCGATTGATTGTATCTGGAAAATCCTGCGTTGATCATAATTATAAATTGAGATACACAATTTTACATAATTTCAAAAATGAAGTCGCAGACTGTAAAATGGTGGACTCTAAGATTTCTTCGACTGCAGAAGATTTTTCAATAATTTTCACGATGTAAATCTTTTTTTGAGATTCCACATATGTGACAGTATTAATTTGCATCAAGCGTCACTTCGATCAAATTTGTAGATTCAGCACACTGTACGAGGTTAAAATTTCCGTTCTTTTTAACGAAGAAGGGACATCGGATTGCTTTTTCTCACCAATTTTGCAATTTCTTTTGTTTTTGATGAACTGTAGATTTTTTATGGCCGTTCGCGTAACGCTTATTTTTAGCATCCATCTTAATCAAGATATTTTAAATTATTTTTAGTGCAATGAACTGAAAATATTTTTAGTCAAACTGTACTTAAAAAGTTATTTTATACGATTGATATAAAGCTAGTATTTCGTTATTCAATATAAATTCACATAAAATACAGATAACTACAAATATCACTTTTCTGTTTACTTTACTTATTTCGTTATAGAAAAATAGTGACCGAAGTTAGCAACCTCGCTTGGTGATCCTTCTTCGTTAAAGACAGAAGTAAACCTTTACTGTAATAAATGTCACGAAATTTCGACAAGGAACCACATCAAAGGAAATTTATGACGGAGAATGAAGGTAAACAGGATTGGATTATATTTTTAACGTTTTAATTTTCTTACCTCTTTAGCTTCCTTTTCAGAAATCGACGATCGTCCAGGTTCGTAATCCTCGATGCGTCCTGGTTGATTCTTGTAAATGTCTGGAGTGTACTTCAATGGTCCATTTCTAAATTAAAAGAAACGTTTTATCATTAATACGATAAAAAATGAAGTAAGATAAAATGTGATTAAGTTGAATGTAATTACAAAAGAAAGCTTTGTACAGAAGTAACGTTATGTTGCAAACTGAAGTATGAAAAATAATTGAACTGAATAGATTAAATCCGTGCGTTTACCAATTTCAGTCTTACAATTAGTGATAATAAAATTTTATTTAAATGAACACATTTTTAATAAAGATAAAATAAATAGTATTTTAATATCAGATTTAAATAGACTTTTGACGAGAAATACTTTTCTAAGTATTTTTAAACCTACTCTTACAAATATATTGCAAATATAATCTGAAAATTTTCTTACTTCCTGGGCATAGTAGAAGTGGAAAAATCATTTTCTTTGTTTCGTAGACGTCGACGATTGTCAAACGTGGCAGAACGTTCTGTGTACAAACGATGTTCCGGTTCACTCAAATATCCACTGCCACTTCCGTAACCATATCTCGTTCCTGAAAAAGACTCACCAGTTGCAGAAAATGGTGGTAAAATTTGCTTACAAGTGGGTTACGAAAATTGTTATGAACAGAAATTTGTACGTAAATTTGTGATGAATTTTGAGATAAAAGATCTCGGAAGCTGTTATGGTTGGCTGAGTACAAATGGATTGTAATCAGCTGTTTTGTTGTAGTGCTGCACAATAAATGTCGATTTTAGACTACTTTCTTTGGAGACATTTAGATTTCACAATCTTTGATTTTTAGATTTTTTTAGTCAGCAGACATTTTTTACCTAATCCTCTATTTGAGTAAAGAAAGTTGCTGTCGTTCAAAATTGATGATCATAATCCGACATTTATTGTGAGACTTTTAAAAAAGTGGAACCTTCCTTATCAACAAGGGTTCAAATACTGTGCTATTCAATCACATAATTATTTAAACACGGTATATACGTACACAGAATTCAACATCTTATGCTAATTGCAAAGCGAAAAAGAAATATGTTAGTTTTTTATTCTTGTTATCAATTAACATTTACATTAAAAATCTGGGTATTGTAATTTTTTTAAATTCTATTACCTGCACAATATTTTGCAATCAATTTGAATAATGGAGGTTCAACTGTACTTAACTTTGAAGGCAAGGGGTTAAATAAAGGCAGACCACTCCACACGATCCTTGCCGTGTGTATTAAACAATTTATTGTTACTTTCACGCTCAGGATTAATTAATAATCATTAGGTAGGTTAATATTAAACACTATCGTTATACAAATAAGACGCATGTTTGTCATATAAAAAAACAGCGAAATCAACCGAAGAAGAAGGCCATTATAGCGACGTGTTATTACGACTAAGCTGTTATTAGTGTTTTTATTATATTGCAGTTCGTTCGATTCTAAATGCATGTATTCACCTCTTCTTTGTTTGTAACGTATGGTTACGTAGTCATCTGAAAATGAGATTAAACAGCGTTAATCTCGTACTTGTTCCGATGCATTGTTAATATATTTTTATTACTGTTGTGAAAATTAAATAAATTTCCAAATCCTTAAATTCTACATTTTTTAATTTCTAAATTACCAAATTCCCAAATCCTCAAATCCCCAAATCCCCAAATCTTCAAATCCTCAAATTTCCAAATCCCCAAATTCCCAAATCCCCAAATCCTCAAATTACCAAATTGAAAATCGAGAATTATGTTCATTTCTTACAAGCTGCACAGTTGAACATAATTTTAAAGAAACGAATAATGTAACACACTATAATTTCATAACACTGTTGCATATATTGTTTAATTAAAAATTAAGAAAAAAACTATACATGTGCTCATAAGCGTCCTGGTTATATTAATTGCAGTTATAATCAATATCTCATATAAACACTGAAGCTATTTAATGTTTGCTGCACAAACTCACCGGGTCTATCTGCACGATGCAACGAGTCGTACATTCTCTTATACCATTTCGTTTGATTATTCTCCTTGACTTCCTAAAATATTTTATCCGATCAAACAATAAATAATACAAGCTAATTTCCGTCGAGCAATTTTTAATATATTTCTTTCTAACGCAGAGAAGCAAACACAGTTGTATGAAATATTCAGAACTTTTTGTTAATTTGTATATTTCTGACGATACGAAATTGTCTAACTTTACATGTAAGTACATATCAATAATTTTCTAATTTCACGCGTACAGGTCAAATTTTACAAGTATTCTAATTTCACAAGCGTACAACTTATTTCTGAATTAGTATATCCCGAAGTAATTTTGCAAACATTCAATTCAGTTTCATATTGTAAAGCGATAATTCTATTATTTTCGAAAGATAAACAAAATTAGATTTTACTAAAGCATTATAAAGATCAAACAAAATATAGAAGGGGTGTTTCATTCGTTTGACACATTTTTCAGAAGCACTAGTTTTGAAATTAAAGAGCTAACTAAAAATACAAGAATAAATAATAAAAAGCATCAAAGTTGAATAAAAAGTCTTTTCATTCGTCTGACAAATTTTTAGTAACAAGAAGCACTACTTTTGAAATATTTTTAATCGCTTTGAATTTATGTACAAAAAGTATTATGAGCAATAAAAAAATGAAAGCAAATTTTTGAAAAATGCACAAGAAGATATTAAGGATAAATTCAAGAGAGATTTACCCCGTCAATTACTCAAAAATTTTCAATAACGTTTTACAGACCTACCGATCTCAAAACAAGAGGAATACCCTCCTTAGTTGTTGGGCCAATACCCTCGAATTTCCGAGGACCTAAATCGGCCATCTTCTTCGGCGGTTCATTTTCCGTTTCCGGCTCGCTCTCGTATTCTTTCTTCACCGTGTAGACTGAGCGAATATCAGTATAATTTCACATAAAGTAACATATTGCAGTATAGCAATACTCGCGACAGTCTTTAACCCCTTGCCCTACAATGTCATCTCACACTGCAGTTCATTTGCGACAAGTCTTGTATGTTCACCGTAATTGAATTTCCGATTCAACTCTAATTATCTTCAGACTGAACCGCAGAATACAAAGTGTCCCTAACTTTTTAACTATCTTTGTTTTAACCTTTTGCACTCGGAAGGTGACATTATTCAGTTTAATACAACAATTTGAAACAAATAGTTTTTAATTAAATAGTAGTACACATACTACGGACAGTGGAACAGACAATGGTGACAATTTATAACAAAGTTGTAATTTTTTAAAAATTTAGTAAACTTTTCAACTAAAAAGTTGATTACATACATACATACTAAAAAGTATGTATGGCAACAGCAAAAATTTAAGTGCAAAGAGTCAGGTGTAGCAATAATTAGTTGCAAATAATGTAACTCCTTAGAAAATTGTAGGTTAAGGGGTTAAACTCTTAAGGATCGATTCTGGTAATATTACAATTCACAAAGGTGTCCTTTTATTATCCTCAAATATTAACCACGTGGATTTACGTATAAGGAGTACAATTAATCTCTTGCGTTAATAATTTTGTTTCGACTGAAGTTATTTTCAACATCAAATTATTATTAGATTGTTCCATAATAAATACTAGTTTTCGTAGACGTTCAATAATTTATTTACGTGTTAAACATTTGACAATCACTGTTAAGTATCAATACTAACGAATACTGTGGAATTTTTATTATCACATATTGCTATATAATAGTTTTCATTTGATAGTTTATTATTACACGATTAATAATTTAATTTTTCAAATTAAAAATTTTTGAACACAGTTACCATTATTCAAATTTAAATACATTCGTCATGGAAAAAACTTGATAAAACCAAACTAAAAAGTGATATCGCAGAAAGATTTATATAGAGTCTAGATTGTAGCTAAAGAAACCATGAGTCTCGCTACACAGGGGTTAAAATTAAACAATACTTGATATACGTTATAAAGTACTGTAATAAGGTGGCTGAAAAATGTACTCACTTATTTCCCCTGGACTAATGAGTGGCTTTTCTTCGTTCGTTGGACGTTTCACTGTTTCATTTTCCTCTAGATAAGCGGCTCCTTTTGGTATCTGACCCTCTAAAATCATAAAACATATTTTTGTTAATAATGTTCTCATGCTTCGTAATATTTCTTTAAAATAATTACTAAATTGTACATCAATTTCGGAAAATAGAACCTAAACAAATTTTTTTAATTGAAACAAGTATATTAAATATTTTTAATTGAAATAAGTATATTAAATTTTTTTCTTCGAACAAGTATTAGTGTATTAAAATTTTATTAATTCAAAGAAGTATCAGTGTACCTAAATTTTTTTTATTCAAACTCAAGGAGTATTTAAATTTTCGTAATTTTGCAGTCTGTAATTTTTTGTGAACAAGTGTCAGAAAATTTATGACATAAATTCTTCTCCAAAGCTGCTGTGATAAATTTTTAATGTCCAATGTACCAGCACATCAGCGAATTTATTTTTAAAAATTCCTCGCGGATTATTAAACACTAGTATGGAATATACGCGTCAAACAGCAGATATAAATATAAATTATAAATTTGACGAAAAGGCAAAACGAGGAAGGCTATTTTTACTCGATAAAAAGTGAACAATTTAACAGCACCGAAATGAAGTTTTTGATTGATGCATAAACACGTCAAAGGCGGTTAAATTAAGCAAATATTTCGACATTTTTTAAATTATTTTTTCGTACCATTTCGTCTCTATATGATATTACATCGTACCTCTTGCTTTTTGTAGCAACGTTATGGTTGGATTCTGAGCACGTGGCAGACGAGGAGTCGAAGCTAATGAATTTAGTCCTTGCGACGGTGCAGAGTGAGAATTAACAATTCGAGAACTCTCGTAAATTGTTGTTCGCAACGTTTCCTTCTTCTCTTCTTCCGCTTCCCAAGGTGGTGGAGCCTCCTGTGTTGTCTAAGAAAAATTTAAATGACTCGATTGCAAATAAGTCAAACTTTAATTCATTGTAATAGACTTCATTATATTCACTCTAATATAACGAGAAGAATAAACGGAATTGAATTTGTTCTTCCTTCACCATTAAAAGACAAGTTACGTAAAAATGCATGGAAGCATTACAGAAGCTCTTTCAGGAAAAAGAGGTCTTCATATAGATTCGAATTGTACTTTCAGTACAAAGAAAATTGCACATCGTGCCAATATTTCAGCTTCTATACGAACCACATAGCAATTTAAAAAACCCTCAATATTGAAAGAAAGTTCTTGAATAAAAATTCATACTCGAACAAACAGCATGAAAAAACAAACATGAATTAGATAACTGAATACAAGCACTTTCCACTTTACAGAGATCCTCGACTAGTAAAGATCAAAACTAAACTCAAGTTACAGAAGTAAAATATTTGCAAATGTAACAAATAATTCTAACTGAAATAAGATTTATCTCAAGTTACATATTATTTTGGAGGAGAGGAAGCAAAATCTTAATCTTACACAGATTTTCGAATTACCAAGGTTTGACAGTATAATTTAGTTTAACTGCATACAGGGTGTCTCACAACTAGTATATTTTAACCCTTAACATACACATTTTGAAAGTTAAATTTCAATTTTTAATTTTGTTATCTAAATTTACATATTCTTGTAGTGTATAGGAGGGACCAAAATTTTAATTTTATACAAAATTTTGAGCTACGGGGGTTCGACTGTAACTTCAACGGGAACGTTATAAAATATTTGTAGCACTCAATAGGTTTTACAAAGCGGTGATAAATCTTGGAAACTCACTTCTTGTTGTGTTGGCTTTTTCCGGCTTAGAATGGGGCTTTCAAATTGCACCGGCCGAAATTCCTTTTTCTCTGGAACAGGACTGGCTCCGGCGCTGGAAGGTGTCCAGACAGGAGGTATTCCACCATCCTTCTGGGACTCTTTTCGATCAGGACTTGGTTCTTTCGGTGGTGGAGGTGGCTCGCTTCCAGGTGACCAAACGCCTGACGATAAAAGTATACCGTTAAATTATAGTAATCATTTGACGAGATATTAAAATACACGCATTAGTAATAACACAACATCGTAATGTTAATGTGTTATATTCAAACCATAATAAAAATATTTATTATATTGCATATATTATTTAGAACATTCACATTAAATTATGTCCCTTCTTCAATTTTTACACGTAACTACTTCAGATACAGAAATTACTGAAAATTATTTCAGATTGTTAAAGTATTTAGAATTTCAAAAATTGTTTTAAGTAGTACTTATATTGTTTTGAAGTGAACGTCTGATGTCTAAAAATCTTATGTAGGACATACCTGTGATACTTTTCTGATTTAAATAATTAAATAAAATTCATTAAATTCATTAAAGATGAGAAGATTCAAAATACTTATTCAAAGTATTATTCAAAAATTTTCTATATTACAAGAATAGAAAAATTAATTTTCAGTGTTACAAGAGCAAAATAAACAATTTTTATATAATTTATTTGGTTTCGCAAAATGAGATCACTGTTCGAAATTATTTATTTCTGCTAAAAATAATTTTTCCTCCGTTCAATTCTTTTTTCCCAACTGTTTTTCAATAAAAGCATTGTGTCAAATTCTACGATTTACCTCGCTAATGTAACTTCCAAGAAAAACAAAATTAAAGCGACGAAAATAAATCGAACATTTCTCGATCGCAATCGGTATACGAGATTACATTTTCTCCCTCGGAGATTTTGGTTTTCCTTGCATTTTATTGCTTCGCATAAGTAACAATCGAATGGTAGATTTAAATTAAAGATAAACAACATTTGAGTCGAGTCGAAGAAAGCTGTGTTAAGGTCTTTGCTCCGAAGCAGACAGATGACTATCGCCACGTGAATTTAGCGAGAACCAGCCAAAATCAACATTCTGTGTCCGTAAGAGACTCGCTAATCTTGGCATGTAAAGGCGTATTATACAAGGTGCGCCATAATTGATGGTAAAAAACACGTTCTACAAATCAAAGGAGATACAATTCTCCTATAAATAAACGTTCGAAAATACACCACCTCTGAGCTACACCCTCAGTTCTACAAAAGAAGTGACTAAACTTAAAAGAAATTAACATTAGAATCAATGATTCAATATTTATTTTAAAATTCAAGATTAAGTGGAAAAATAAGTAAATAGTGAAGCATCAACTAATTGTATACAATCATTCTTGATCTCAACTGAATGTGACAGACACGTTGATGAAATGACAAAATTTTGTAACAAATTGTGAAGTCAAAGCAGTCATTTTGTCTGGTTGAAGTGGAAAAATAAGTAAATAGTGAAGCATCAAGTAATTGTATGCAATCATTCTTGATCTCAACTGAATGTGACAGACACGTTGATGAAACGACAAAATTTTGAAAAATAAATTGTGAAGTCTGAAAGCAGTCATTTTAACTGATTAAAATATTAACTGGTTTAAATACAAACTTAACTTACAACTACGTGTCACATATGTAACACACATTACTATTGAAATGTGATAAACCAAACTCATATTGAATTTTTTATCGAACACTCATATATATATCAGATTTCCATTCCCACAATTTAAGTCAAATGATGTATTATATTTACATATACTTTAACTTTTAATTGACACTATTGTAAATTTCACAAAATGTCTTCGAATTTCGCAAGGATGTGAATCACACTGAATTACTGCCACTTGTAACACTCTGTATAACGAATCGTTCTTCCGCGCTGATTTCTCAGTCCATTACGTCAACCGATCCCAGAAAAGAGCGGAAACAATTTTTGGCCGACACAGTGGCAGCTGTAATTATCAAGCTATTAGTTCCCCTTCATGTAATTTCGAAATGGTTATTAATTCCTTCGAGGCTGTTTGAAAAAATACGGTCATCTTAGTAATATCATTTCGTTGACTATCATTTTATTGGTCATCACAGCATTATACGCATTAAGATGTTTCTAGCTACTTCTCTGAGCATATTCAGTGCCATTAGTGTCATAAATTAAAGAGTGGAAACAAAAAAAGGTGTAAGTGGTTTTTAGAAAGTTGCTTTTTGTTTGAAGGAAGAATGTTCACAGAGGAAATTTTCTCGAACACATTTGTTATTTTTAAGAAACATTGCGATTTTCCTTTGCAATTTATACAAGGTTCTATTTATAAACTATGTTCTGGACTGTTTTATTCTGAAGAAATAGTCATACGCTGAATGGGGTGTAAAACAAAAATACATTCGTTCAGGTACATAATACTGATGAAAACAGTCGATAAATATACTATAGCGTCACCGTTCGCTTTGGTTTTCGAAATTACGTCAGCTATTTTCTTTTCCTATATTTGACACTTTCCGTGATGGAAGGACTCACATTTTAAATTCTTAGACAGGGTTTTAAGTTGTGATATCGGTGCGTAAACACAAATTACTTTTAGCTCACCAGAGTCTTATTTAACTGTTATTTCAAATTCTGATGATGGTTATATAATAAACAATTGAATTGTATTTTTAATTGTATCTTTACCTCTTTTAGCTTATTTTCCTTTCTTCAGAAGGAATTAAAGATTGTTACAAAATTATTTATAGTATAAATTTGAACTGTTGACAATTCACAGGCATGCATAATTGAAAATTAACTAACACACAACTTAAGTTAGAATTCTATTGACAAAAGCTTTAATTTATAATATATGTATTTGTCAGTTCATTAGAAAAATTCTACTGCCACAAAATTTCATGTTTTGTACAAGAAATTTATATAAACCCTAACATTCACTGTCTTCAATTTATTTAATTTTAGTTTACAAGGTTTCACGCAAAATTTTAAAGAATGAAGAAAGAATTCTATTTATAGATTTTCACAGAAATTTTGTACAAGTTTACCAACAAAATTATTATTAATATTATGAAGTAGATAATGATATCAATATAAATAAATATATTACCAAACTTAATAATTTGCGAATATTTGATTAAAATATAATTCTCATCTTTTAGATAAAATTTTGGTAAATACGTAACATGTTATACATTTTCTTGTATTGATTTTCAGTAGAAAAGTTTAAAGCATTCTGTTAGTTCCACGCGTTCTTTTACAGTTTTTACCTGGTGTTGCAGACGAAGTTTTAAACGTGGGAGCGAACATAACGTTCTCTGAAAATATCAACAAATTATTTAAGGATTCGATCAACTTTATTCCTGTCTGTTGAAGCACTGCATAACAACGTCAGTACAGAGAAATTAAAGTACAGACTAAAAGCACGATATCTGATTCTGTTTTTTCAATGTACAGAATATTCAATTCAATAAAGGTTGTCCTGCATTCGTGTTAATTTTATAATATAGTTACGTTTATGTAATATGTACACTACGTCACTTCTACTTTGCTTAATTGTTTTAAAATATGTAATAGTTATTCGTAATGAATACATGAAGATAATATTAGCTTTCCATGTATCAAATGGTAGATTCTAATAAAAGGTCTGATATAATTTAGCGGGCAATTACTGCCAAAAGAGATTTATGATTTATTAATTTGAACTTTTCAATTTGACACATTAACTGGATTTTAGCATATCTTTTTGGCAGAAAAGTACGAAACATTATATCTTGTTACAGAGTGTTCCAAAAATGATTGCATAACCTCAAAAGTGTAGATTCGTTTTTATAGTGTAATAAGTAAAAGAATTTTTGTATTGCTCTAATATAGTATACATATGCATCTATGCATTATGCATTATTCATATTATGCATTATAGCTCTGATATATTACTTATGAATCTGAGTGAAGTTAAGGAAGTTAACTAGGAAGTTAACTATTAACTAGTGAAGGAAGATAAGTATTTTACAAATAGTTCAACAATTTAATATATTTTATGTAAATGTTAACTCTAAAGCTATATTATTTGTTAGAGCATTAATTTGTTAAAGTATCAATGATATATGTAAGAGACAATATACCTCTCTGTTTATTGTAACAACACATATTCATTACATACATTAATCATCAAACTTGTCTGTAATATTAATATCCATTATCGTATAAAAATATTTCCACGAGTATTTGCTCTGAAACCTGCATTGTTTGATATCCAGCATTACAAAAAAAGAAAAATTGATCGTCTCACTCTGTCTTCTGCCAATCAATTACTCTGTCTATTTCAAATGGTCTATTTAAAGGTGATATCCGCATTGACAGGAGATGTGACCTTTGGAATCAAGCCATAATTACTGTGGCACAGCATTTGCAAATAAAAAAAAGAGAGAAGTCTTTGTTTAAGCTGGCTCCGAAAATAATACCCACTGTTCTTTCATTTATTAATTGAAAAGAACTGTTTTAGTAAATTGTATCTGATATAAATACAGACTCTTATATTCGTCTCCTAAAAGTTCGACAACAAATTCACTCGTTTTTACAGAGAACTAAAAGCTTTAATAATATCATTAGCCATTAGCATAAACCCATTTTAATAATCACTAGAAAAAACTAATGAATACTTATCCTTTCTCTGTAATTGCAGCAATGTCTGATAACATAAAAGATTGAGATTCACCGGGGTGGTATTCTTTCAACCTTTAATCACGACGAAGAAGGTACTAAAGGCCCCTCAAATTGCTTCTTTATGAGAACGATGCAAGTCATTAATAATAGAAGCGAGCTTGATGGGCTTTAAATGGAACCGCAACAGAAAACTCAAGAATCCAAGAACTCAAGAAGGTAAAACTGAGACATAAATCTAAACATTCCTTAAAGCGTAACGGTATGAATTTCTACGAATGCAATTGTATTTTTGAAATTGCAACTAATATGAGACGCTACTTTTTTTACGTAATGATAATTGTTGAACATATACATATAAAGAGAAATAAAGAGAAAATTAAATTGTTACATTTCAAAACATATGATAAGAAAATTAAATTGTTAAATTTAAAGAAAATAAGAAGTGAATTAAATTGTCTGAAATAATTCACTTGAATGATCCATACATACATAGTATGCAT